GCTACAGAGAAACAGAAATAGATGGAAAGTAGATTAACAGAGGCAGAATGAAGACTAATATGCAAGCAGATACCCATTACCACACACACAGAATAAAGCATATGATACAACAGCACAAAGGAAGAAGAGTAAATGGAACCTGGCTCTTACGAAGCTCTTAACGTTTACGTAAAGTGGGGCAACATTTTAAATATAGTAAGTTAAGGCTGTATATTGAGAGCTCTAGAGAAAAATCAATAAATGAAAGAAAAATGGAAACAGAACACTTTAGCATATGCTTTAGCATCCTCAAGTAATTCAAAAAAAGAAACAAAAAAAGGGACAGAGGAACCAAAACCAAACTGCTGTAACCTGTGTGGAAGGGAGACTCAATGGCAATTTGAAAACAGGAAAAGTCAAAAGAAATCTTCATTACCATTTAATAATTAAACAAGTTACATAAGCTATATAATTACAGTTTTTAAAAACTATCAGGGACCGAGGACCCAGAAAACCTAAATCAGCTCCAATGAGTGACGAGTTCCTTGGGAAAAAGAAGATCCTCAGTTACTGTCATCCCGACATCACGGAAGGCGGGCAAGCAATCAGCAGAGCAAGACCAGAGAGAAGCCAGGCCATGTGAAGGGCTCCAGGAGGGTGCGCATCCTACGTGGGCTCCAGAGGAGCCACAGACACAGGGAGCTCTGTCCAGAGCTCCTCCACCCTCCCTGAGCCTCACGTCCTCTCCAAACTCTTCCCTATTAATCTTCACCAAAACGGAGGACAAGAAAAGAAAGCTGAAGAAATCTCCCCAGGGTCCTTCAGGCTTTCGGCTACGGAAGAGTGGGGAGTGGAGGGTAACGGGAAAGCCGAGAGCAACACTCGGCAGCTGGACTGCAGAGTCAGGACAACCAGAGTCAGCCCGGGAGCCCACAGAGGAGCAGCAGGGCCGGAAAGGCTCTCGGCACACAAAGCAAGGAGCAGATCTGGAAGGCAAAGGGAACTTGCTCAGCAAAATGAAGCAGGAAGACACATCCCACAGTTCAAAGGATTTGTCCCTGCAACTCCAAGGAAAAAAACCCCATAGAATAGCCCATAAATAGACACGAAAATGCTCATTACGATTTGTCGAGGGACATGTAAATTAAACTAAATATAAGATAAAATAACAGTGCAGTACGAGCCCATACCCATCAGGATTGCCGAAAATAAAAAACACACAAACAGATATAGTTTGTATAAGTGTTGACGGGGACATCGAGTAGGTGAACTTCTCCTATATCGATGAGAGAAGAACCTAAATGGCACAACCACTTTGAAAATGTTTTGGCAATTTGTTACATAGTTAAATATACGCCTACCTTATAAAGCAACATTTTTCACTTTGGGGAATTTACTCAAATGAAATTTAAATATATATATATATATATATATATATATATATATATTTTTTCACAAAAAGCTTTATACAAAAATGTTTATGAGTTTTATTCATAATTCAAAGCTAGAAAAAAGCACATCCAACAAGAGAAAAATAGTAAACTATATCCATGGAATGGAACAGTACTCTACAATAAAAAAGGATGAACTGATGTACATGAAAGCATGCAATTATCCAAAAACCATTACTTTCAGTGAAAGAAAATACAGTATGGCTATGTTTATGATAAGTTCAACAAGTTCTATTAATTCATGGTGACAGAAATGAGGGAAGTGTTCACTTGTGGCTTCCCTGCGTTCTCTTACTACTTCGTAATATTCTCTGGACCTTCCAAAACACTACTTATACACACATGGAAAAAAAGACACCTAATAGAAAGGATACCAACCACACTATAAAAATCCCAAGAGCAGCTGACAGAGCAGCAGCTGACAAACCATTTCATGTAGAAACACGATGCTCTTATTACACTGGGTTTCCTACTACTTGCATCTATTGTAATTTCAAGACTTCTTCTGTGACACATTTTAGTGTCAGTCTGTGGAAGCGAAATGGAGCGAGCTTGTCGCAGGCCGATGGGTCTCAAGAATAGAATCAGTGATTGGAATATTCAAGAAAGTTTGGGGAGTTTTCTGCACCTTCTTCTTTCTTGCTTCATTTTTCTTTCTTTTTGTGCTTCCCAGTCCCCATGGTTACCAACAGCACTTTGCAAGAATATACAATATTGTGTGGCAGAGACACAGAAACTGATTTCTTTCTCCCTGGCTTTCTGCTCTGTCTCCTTCTCTCCCATCTTACTCTTCCAAAATTCTCAGGGAAAGGACTGGACTTTGTGTCTATCTGGAGCAGTAAATGGGAAGAGAAAGTGATGGCACGTGGCAGGACATGGCAGTACAATCTAACAGAACAGCGGAAAGATGTGAGAGAAATTAGCAGCAATGACCCATTAAGGTTTTTGTTGCTGTTTTGAGACAGGGTCTTGCTATGTAGCTCAGGCCAGCCTTAAATGATTTACGTAGCTCAGGCTGGCCTCGAACTCATGGCAGTCTTTTTGCCTCAGCCTCCCAAGTGCTGGGATTACAGTGTGCACAACTACACCGGCTCCATTGGGAAGTAAAGATGTAAGTCGTGGATCGGTTTCAGAAACTGATGAAAATACTGGACCTCCCCTCAGAAATATAGACATACAAACACCAACCGTGCGCACAGTTTCACAGTCATGAAAGCTCTGTGCTCCATTCTACCATCCTGATTTTAAAACTCTCTAAAACCATCTAGATTTTTTTCATGTGTTTCAAATACTTCTCAAATTTTAAGTAGTGGATATGAAATAATACTCAAAGGTTTTCTAAATACAACAAGTAGCCGCGGTCAAATGGTAACCTTTTGGAGGACTGTAACATGAGACAAGTCTCCACAACAGGACTGACCGCCAATCAGACACCAACTGATACCTAAAGCTGTCACCCAGCTAGCACTTACATGGCACATTTTTTCCCGTAGTTGGCACATGCACCGTTCTAAGTCATCTGGAGAGTATACACCTGGACCCTTATCCATACGAGTTCTACTATTTGAGATAACCGCACAATAACATGTCTCAAGTCAGCCAAAGGAGCCACAAAGCCTGCTTCACTGTTATTCATAGTGGCCCAGGAAGGAAGAAATCCTATACATGGTTCGACCGAAAGTTCCTATCTAAAATATGTAGTTATGACAGAACAGAATTTCCTTAAAACAAGCAAAAACAGACAACAGAAATAAAGCTAGAAAAAAAATTTAAATGAAATCTATAATCAACTGTCCTGTGTGACAGGTGGAGATATATAAAAAATTACATGGAGCTAAGCAGGAAATGCACATCCTTCACTGGTGATGTGAAAAGTACATATTTAGCTTCTGAGAACATATAATAGCAGGAAATAATCATATTCCACCGCAAAATGTTCTCATAGGAAATGAGAGACTAGCACAACACACAGAACAGAATGGTATTTTTACATTTTCTTTCGGTGTACATTTTAAAAGGCTTATAGATACAGCATTATGCATTGTATTTTGAATGCACTGTATCGTATATCTTATATAAATTCCTTACATGAAAAGTTAAACCATTATCCTTGCAGACACATTTTCTAAGAAACCTTCAAAACAACCTAATTTTCTGAATATCTGAATGTATGAATTTGATGAAAGCCAGAATGATGAAACACCAGCGATCCTGATTACTATAATAAACTCTAAAGGGAAGCCCATATCCTATATTAGCTGAAATTGTTCACATCAGTATAGCAGGAAACAAAAATACAACTCATTCTATGAAGTTATATATTATTTTAAAGCAAAGTCACTGCTGTCCTAGTATTTTTATAAACAGTACTGAAACCATATATTATAATCTATATTTAAAAAACCTAAAAATTAATCAATTACTATGTTTTCACTCAGAAATTTCTAGTACTTGAAAAAATTCTGGAGAAAGTTTTTTTTAAATCATAAAGAACCCAGGCATGGTGGTATATGCCTGTAACCCCAGCATTCTGGGAGGCTGAGGCAGGAGGATCTCAAGTTGAGCTCAGCTTGGGCAACTCAATAATTTCGTGAGACCCTATTTCAAAATAAAAACATAAAGAAAAGGATTGGAGATGAGCTCAGTGAGAAGGCCCTGGGTTCAATACGCAGTTACACAATCAATGAATGAATAAATAACAAAGAAATGCCACAGATTTTTCATTCATAGATTTAACATGCATAGTTTTTAAAATCATATAACCCTTACAATGCTGAGTCATATATTTCACTTGGATGGACTAAAGATTTAGGCTTGCTGGTATTCCAAAAAAAGAAAGTAAAAATAATCCCAGCCAAAGTGACAACTTATATCTTTTCCTGCTCATTCTTGAACATACGGTAACTTTCATGTAACACCTGAAGCATGAGGTTTTTAAATGTTTTAAATCAGACTTCATTTTCTTTTTTAATGAGGAAAACGATGCATAGTGGAATTTGAAAACGTGTGGATTTACCAAGGAAGGCTTAAGGAGGCCCCTCCAAAAAAATCAGAGGGCTGAACAGCGGCTCTCAAGAGAATACACGCATTTACTAACTGCAGACATCTGGTCAGCAGGTGATTCGAGTCAAATTGTGCGGCTAAATTCTAGCTCGATTCCTTATTACAAAGTTAATACACATCAGTAGCCTCACTAGAGAACGACATAAAAATCACTCTGCGTTACTGCCTTTGGGGCTAGCAAATGATTATATCACACAAAGTTGACCTGAATCTCTTATGAAACCCTCAGAGCTGACGTAGCTCTTTGCACAAACATCTTGCCAGCAAAGTGACTAGAGGGACAAGGATTGCAGTGCGCATCGGCAGTGACCACAGTTCTACCTAAAACATAAACGCTAACTTACGCCACGCTTTCTCAGGGGACCCAGTCACACTTCACCCACAGCCCCCCTTTCTTCATCAAACACATTTACATGCCAGCCCAATGCCTAGCTACACAGCGAGACACACAAATAAAAACGGATTCGTAGGAGACAAGAAACCATGGTGGGCCACAGGTGCGATTACCTGGAGGTAGGAATTGCAGTTGGTTGTTAGCTAATCGAAGATGACGTAAAGCTCTCAGCCGACCGATTTCCGGACAAACAATTTCCAAGGCATTGTCACTGAGATCCAGACACTGGAGTTTCACAAGAGACCCAATAGCTTGAAAAAGAAGGGAAGGGAAAAGGCAAAATGAGTTTGATTCAAGGATGAACAGCAAATCTTTAATACAAGAAAAGATTCCAGCATTCCTGAAAAGAAACTTCTGTGCTACTGTCTATTCCTTCTTTGGAACAATCTTTTCTGTCTATAGCCTGTTCTCGGAGGAACAACTTTGAAAATAATAAATATAGAATACTAACTGTTGTTATTCTCATTACTTTGTTATGAAAATTTGCCTTATTTTTTCATAAACTAAAAATCTTGGTTCACTTCTCACAAGATAAAGCTTTGATCAAAGTTTTATGAATCTGATAAAAAATTCTACCTCGACATAAAATATAATAGCTTAAAACAGAACAAAAACAGGCACTGAAGTGTACACCGCCAGCAACTCCAGCTATTCTGGAGGCTGAAGCAGAAGGAACACAAGCTCAAGATCAGCTTAGCAACTTAGATCCCTTCTCAAGTTAAAAAAGAAAAAAGATTTGGGGGTGTGGCTCAGTATGATGACCCCAGGCATACAGTCCAAAAAGGAAGGGAAGAGACACATGAAAAAGTTAAAAAACGTAAAAATCGCTTGAAAAAAACTTTAAAAACTTAATAAGCAGCACCCAAGTTCTTTATGTAATCAAAATTCTTAACTGAATTTGATAAGTTTAGAACTTATTTTGACTTACTTTATTATTTGTTTAACAATTTTATCTAATAATTTACCTAACCATTATACCCATTTTGACTATATAATTTATTTAATCACAATTCTTAACTGGACTTACTAGGGGAAAATTGTGTGCATCTGTGTGTGTGTGTGTGTGTGTGTGTGTGTGCGCGTGCGTGCGTGCGTGCGTGTGTGTGTGTGTGTGTGTGTGTGTGTGTGTGTTTTGTTTTGAGACCAAGCCTCAGTACGTAGTACAGGCGGGCCCTAAACTTGCCATGTTGCCCAGGCTGCCATCTAACTTGGGATACTGCTAGCTCAATTTCCTGAGTGTTAGGATTTCAGATGCATGCCAGTAGGATAGGTCCGGGCAGTGTCGAGATGGGGTTACATCTTCGAAGCAAATAGTTTAAAAGAGCTTTATAATTAAAATTCCCTAATGCACCTAACTCAAATGGACTTAAGAGACAATTTATTTGCAAAGCAAAGCTTAAACTATGTTGTCTATTAACTAAAACTTTAAAAATTAAATTAAAAATGTGCTTACCTTCTGGAACTACAACTATGTTATTTGAGTGAAGGTATCTGTATACAGGGAAGGGGAGAATAAAGGAAAAATGTCTTTAAAAAGAAAAGAAAAAAGACAAACAAACCCACAGATGTTATATATCATTCAGTACTTTTGCCAGATAATCAGGTGGTAAAATACTGCGCTCATGTTGAAATTCATCCAACATAAATGAGACAGCGCTTTCTTTCACATCCTACCCTAGGGTAGCAACGCGAAACACACAGCTATTATGTCTACTTCATACTATTTTGGGAGCCACACTTTTTGCGAGAATCCAAATATTAAATCTACTTTGTGACTTAGTTGCTATTGTAAGATAAAAGCAAATTTATAATAAATTATGAGGTTTTTTTCAAGTTCATAAAAAAATTACTAGTTTCTCCAGTTCATTTTGAATTATCCAGGTTTTTCAGAAATACACCTACTGTGTACTGTGTCGGAAAGAAATATTTATTGTGTAAAGGTAGACATAACTTTTAGCTTCTAAAGGACAACTTCACAAAATAAAGGTATTCCTAGTTGTGTGCTTACTGAAAACCAAGAATGGAGAGATTAGATACTTATCATTTGAAGTATCTATGGAAACACTCGACAGTCCAGATATGGAATTATTTCACAGCAAATGGAATTTTGTTAACAAGACGACAAAGTCTTCTCTTTAAAAATAAAAACAGTGCCAAGGCTGACAAGTCCAGGCAAGCACGGTTACCACCGCGCCGAACGAAGTACCTTTAGCACACTCTGGTGGAGACTTCACGCCATCCTCAATACCCAGCTAGTCAGAGCGGAGGATACTGCAGCTCCGGGAGTAGCCAGCAATGATGTTTAACAAAACGAATTTATATCACTAGTTTTAGTAAACTTTATTTTTACACCTATCACTTTGTTTATATTTTAAAATAAATTCTAAGAAATTATTTTTAAATAGAATTTAGCCATTTTCTCCTACATTTTAAAAAAATGTCAAAGAACATAGAATAAGAAAACACAGAAAATTAATAATGTCATGAAGATTATTCTCTGCTGGATTAAGTTTTGAAGAAGATACTAATCCTGGATATATCAGCTAAGGCCTAGAAACACCTAGACCTATATTTTCTTAAACTTGTTTCCAGGAAGAACACCAGGTCTTTCATGGAGGCTTCCTGATTCTCAAGGTTTGGAGCTGGCCTTTCTAGAATGGACGGGACAGGACGGCTGGTCACTGGTCAGTGATGTCATAAACTCACGCTCCCTCCCTTCCCCGGGTCATCCAAGCAAAGAGCACTTTCCCCTTCTCCCTTCTTGGAATTCCCCCTGCTAACAGCTCAGGGGCAGACTTGAGTTTATATGTAAACTCCTTGTTGGGAGTCTACACAGTAAAGGTTTTGTTGCCAAATCCCAGTGCTATAGCAGTATCGGCTTCAATCCCTTGTTCAAAATAACTGTAGCACATAACTGAAACAAATTGACCATTCTATGCAAATTTCATTCCTTATTTTGTGTATATGAATCCATTACATATTTTTTTAAAAATCGATTCTCTTGAGACTTTACTTTTAGGAAAGAATACCAAATCATTTTATCAGGGGACCTTAAAGATTCTTTGTGTTAAACAGTTATAAATAAATACGCATATACACACAAAAATACACACACTCACATTTGTTACACAAAAGCCAGAGTGCTTGCATTTGAAAACACAGAACTGGTTTTTAAAAATTGTTTCAAGAAAATATTTACCTATAAAAAAAAGAATCTTAAAGGGCCAAGGATACAGCTCAATGGTACAGCGCCTGCCTGGGAGGCGTGAAGTCCTGAATTTGATTCCCATAAAACCCCGCCCACCAAAAAAAAAATCTTAAAATGTCCAAATCTAAATAGGTATCCAGAGTGTGACTATAATTTGAATATTTTAACACATTAAATGTACCGATGTTACAATAACGATGCTGCAGAAAGAGGCATGGCATGGTCCTAAGATTATCCCATACCCAGGAATCACCATCCCAGCTCCACACCTAATTCTGATATGAAATCAGTCTGCTGAGAACCATCACTAGCGCAGCTCAGTTCCTTTTACACTGAAAAAGTCGGGACACTCAGGGCATGTCCGAAACCTCTGTTTATCATCAGCTGACCAGAACAGCCAGCTTTCCAATGGGTCTCGGAATGGCCCTGGAATGGATTTAGAGTAGCTGCTAGTTAATGGTCAGCAAATGATCAGACTGGAGATAACTCAGGTAACTGAGCAAATATTTTTTTAAAGGGGAGGGTAAAGAAAGAGGAGAGGAAGAAACTCTTGCTAACTTACTCTATAAGGTCAGTATTACAGTGATACCAAATCTAGAAAAAGAGAACACATAAACAGGTGACAGAGACATGCCCCTTATAGAGTCACTTACAATTACACAAGAAAACAAACCCAGTTCACCAATACACAAAAAGGCTCATACTCCATGACTGCATGGGACTGACCTCAGCAAGGTACAAGTAACAGTCAGGGTAACACGGTAGCGTTTCTTTGTGTGACAAAGAAAAAAAGCAACTAGGTTTAAAACAGCCACTTGACAAAAATCAAACCCCCTTCTAAGTTAAAAATAATTCAATGAACAATAAGTAGAAGCAAAATTCCTTAATTATCAAGAAACTATGAAAAACAGCTAACGTTTATTTAATGGCAAAAGACGAAGTTTTCCCCCAAGAGAACATAAAGCCCCAAAAGAACATCAAGGTTCCTGCCCTCCTCACTTCTCAACTTTCCTTGTGCTAGCCAGGCCACTCAATCAAGAGAATAAATAAATCACAGAGTCCGGAGAGGAAAATGTAAAGCTATCTTAGTGTAGCAATTTCATTCCATTCATATAAACCCAAGAGAACTGAAAATTCGCATGCATACTTCCAAAAAAGGTTCATAGCTGCATTAGTCACGACAGCCCAAATATCGCAATGACCAAAACGTCCATCAGCTGACAACCGCATAAGCAAAATGTGGTGTATCAACACACTGGAACATCATTTAGCTATATAAAAAGAATGAATTCTGGTACATATTACAACACTCAAGAACCTTGAAAATATTGTTATGTTAAAGCATTCCGACAAAAAAGGCTACATGTAATATGGTTCCATTCATATGAAATGGCCACAGAAGCAGAATATCCATAGATGGGGGATCTATAGACCCAAACTGCAGTGATTTCCAGGGGATTAAGAGGGATCAGAGGAAGGTAGGAAAGGCTGTGAATGGGTCTCTTTTCAGGAAAATTTTCTTCTCAGGAAATTGTTCTGAGCCCATAAGTGCGAGCTCATGAGTTTGATCCTCGGCACAAAAAAAAAAAAAAAAAAAAAAAAAAAAAAAAAGAAAGAAAGAAAGAAATAAAGAAAAAGAAAAGAAAGAAAGTAAAAGAAAATGTTGTAAAATTAGACAATGGCAATACTTGCACAATTTTGTGACTATACTAAGAAGTCACTAAATCTATACTTGAAAAGTATAAACAGATAAACTTTATTATGTGTGAAATTATATCTTAGCAAAAGAGAAATGAAACAATTATCATATGGCTGAGTAACTGTGATCTTAGTAATTTATCCCAAGGAAATAAAAACTTATTTATAAAACAGCATATATACAAATGTTCACAGTAGCTTTATTCATAGTATCAAAACTTGGAAACAAGAATATATCCTTCAGTGAATGATGGATCAAACAAGTTACATTACATCCATAACATGAAATAGTGGTGCCTCAGTCTCTTAGTCAATTTTCTCCACGATTCTGGTTGCAAACCAAATCAAATTTCCCCATAAGGTCAACACTGAACCAAGGTGATCTGGTTCTCTTTCAAGTCTATTTGCAACCAGAATTGTGGAGAGAATCAAGCGTGTGACCCGGGTACCACTTGCTAATAAAAAGGGGCAAACTACTGATGCAGGCAACAACCTGGGAAGAGAACTCCCAGGGGTTATGCTGAATGGAAAGAGTCGGCCCCCAAAACTTACACGCTGTCCACATCCATTTTAATGACCTTCTTCCAATGACGAAATCATAGAGATGATACGGAGAAGAGGTCAGTGATCCCCAAGGTGTTGAGGTGGGCTTGTGCTTACAGGGTAGCTCAAGGGCCCCCGACACTCACAGACGTGTTCTCTACTTTGATTAGGACGCTGCTTACACAGATCTACCCAGATGAGAGTGATAAAAATCAACACTGACAAGACCGCACTAACCAAACACATGCACACAAATGGATACACGCGAAGCTGGTGAATCTTATGTAACAGTCGGTTTCCAGGGTGAGTCAGTAACACGGGGGAACAGAGACACACACGCATGCAGGCTGTTTCTGTATTATCACCCGTGACTATCTTACAATACAATGTTTCCTTTAAAAACAGGGAGAAATAAAGACTTTTCCAGGCAAGCTCAATTTGAGAGGATAACAAGAACTATATATAAAACACTTTTCTCACTGTTTAATGCCTTTAACCATTTAAATGAAAAATCAGAATAGCGTCTTTTGACAGCTGTAGGTTTATGGTCCCTTACATCCATTTCTCCTCTCTCTGCTGCTCTCTCCGACACTGGAGCTGGACCCCACCAACACGTCTGTGCCAGCTGCTTCGTCACGGCTCTGCCACGCACCAGGAAGGTCTCTCTCCTGGGTGCTCACTCCCCCTCTGTTTCTTTATTGAGCACAGAATCCAAGCGCCAATGCCACTCAACTTGCCAGACTTCACTCAAGCCACATTTCTGAACTATGAACTCTCCTCAGAAGCCACTTACTGTGGCAGTGCTGGCTGCAGACTCTGACCACAATTTGCTCACCCAGCAATGCGCGTCTGTACATCAGCCTGAGCCACGTTCAGGTAACTGCCTTACGACCCCGTGGCTACTGCTGTGGTAGCCCTGTGCATTCCCTGGAAGGCTGGTCCACAGGCCAGCTCCATACCGCCAGTCCCCGCTGGGACAGTGAGTTGGTCACTCTGCCCAGTCCTTCTGGGGAGCCTGTCCAGCACCAGCAGGCTGCACGCCCTTGAGGCAGCCATGCCTCTGACGACATCTCAATCT